CAAAGCTTCATATTTGGAAAGTCTCATCCTCTGCCATCATAATGTTATGACGTATTTAACGACAGTTCCTGAAAATCACATTTTAACCAACAGTATGATAAAACTTTCTTAGCATACCCCCACTCACTTCTATTTAATAGGCGGACGAATTGTAAGTTCTGTTTCAGCAGGATACTCACTTAATGTCATCAACTCGTTGCCCCTTTACATTTAAAACATTAATGCGCTATTCTTTCTCCTGAAGCTGACAATTCTATGATTACTTATCATTAATGCGATAATAAAAAAATTAACTTATCCTGGCCCAAAATAAAATTTTACAGTAATTTAACGTAACATAATTGGAGTTTAAATTTCTTACAGTTTGCTTTAACAAGGAAGTACAGTAAGAGCCATGGTCTTTAAAGAAGTTGCCTGTTTCTCACCTCCGACTTTTATGTGGGCTACGCTGGTGGCTGTGCCGTAAGGGTTGATCGCCTTGACGCTATAGCAACCAGACGAGGGGTCCTTGATCAGGAGTGTCGATCGATTAACGCCGTTGAATATGGTTATATTGTCAGACTCCTTGAGGAGCGTGTTCTCGTAGTACCATTGGATGGTCGCTGCTGGACTCGAGTCGGCTTTCACTTCGAGAAACAGTTTCTGACCGGCAGGAATTTTTGTGCTTTTCAGGTGCTTCAAGATTCGCGGAGGACTGATGGTGCTCATTTCCACCTCAGAAAAGAAGTGCTCTTCACTCGTCTGCAGAAAGTCCTTCTGATCCGTCGAAGAAATCGATACGTCGCTTTCATAAGCGGTCTTCTCCGTGTACGTTACTTCATTTCCTACAAAATCGTACAGTTAAACGGAATCAAATAATTATGACTATTTCGAACACCTAACCTTTTACGACCGTAATGTTTGCCGAAGAAACGGACTTTCCCAAAACGTTCTCTGCCGTTACCGCATAGTTTCCACCAACTGGAACCTTCGCGACCAGCTTCGTTCCCAATGGACTAGTGAACACCTTGAACCTTGGATCGTTGTCTACCACCTGGCCATTCAGGGACCATGAGAACCGCGGCAGTGGAGTACCGGTGACTTGTACGTCTAACACAAGTACTTCGTTTTCGCCAATCGCCGTACTCTTCAGCGGTTCTGTGAACTTAGGTGGTGTCCCCTGTAGCATATGTTCGTCGACGTTACTCGTTAAGATTTCCTCTGTCGTGAATTCCACGGTTGTTCCGGGATGCCCATAATCTAAACGTTTCACATGAAATAGTTTAGAAAAATTACTGTAAAATAATTGATGAGAAATTCCTATCAGTTCTAATATCCAGTTTTTTAACCCCTAGTTTGATTTGACTGTATGCTGACGTTATCGACGCAGAGAAATATTTCATGGCGATAAATCGTGAAATAATTTTCGTCGTTACGTGTATAATTATTCTCTTACCATATCTGTGATTGTAGGTACAGTAAAAACCACCTTCCGGGGCAACTGCTGCTTCGTCCAGATTAAAACAGGAGTCGATCATTATGGCTAATAACCTTGGTATCGTTCAGAAAGCTCCTTTGTCTCCTCAGCTATACACTTTGTTCACGAGTGACTGTTCTCTTGCCAGTTCATCTATGTGTCTCACAGGCATCTGACGATATCGCCCCAGTTTCATGCAATAGACACGAAAGAGATATTTAATCATTTTCACGGTCCGTTGAAGTCATCGAAGATTCCTTAACCAGAAATACACTCCACTTATAACCAAAAAAATCATGAGTTGGTGTTCGTTGTCGAAAGTCCCACTTTGTTACACGCTGTCGTTCGAAATGACATCATGAACAATAATGTCATATTCCGGATCGAAGCGTTCAGATACTGAAAATGACAGTCGGCAGTTGTCTCATCACGCAGCGGAGACAGAACGTAAAGTTCGCATTGTATCAGATTACGCGCGAAAACTTTTGGGTGTCAAAGTACTTCAATCTGGGACTCAAAAGTCTGTCTACTCATAATATGTTCTGTTCGTCTGTGACTCTCTGTTATTCCATGGATGCCGCTTGGCAAACTCCCTCCGTTTGGATTGTAACCTGACAACCCATGGACAACCGC